CCCCTTGCACCAAATTAATAACTAATCACAGGAGATATTTATCATCTCAATTTTTTTTACATGAGAATTGTCAGACTTAATCACCCTCCTCATATATTCACTATTTAGAGAGCTTCATTTATCACACATTTCAGCAGTGTGACAACAGTGGACTATTTTTCCCACTTCTCAAGTACACAAAGAAAGATAAAAGAGTGGCAAATCACGACAATAGGCTGAAAGTTTTACTCTTTCCAATAACATTGATTTCAACCAGAAAATCATTCCTAAAAACTATTTAATACCATCATAGAAATAGACAGCAGGCTAAAACATGGACAGTTAAATGGACAGTTACACTGGATTATAGAAAATACATTCTAACCATTTTTACCATTGATTAAACTTTGCAGACATCATGAGAGTGATCTGTTCCAATCAACTGTTATCAAAAAATAATTTCTTCTATAACAATGCCAAGAAACCGTTCTCAGAAGCCTTTATAAAGCAGGTTCAGGGCTTATAAATGGAAGCTGAAAGGGCTACTACCTCTGACGAGGATAATGATTTGGGGGATGTACGGAAACATACCCCATATTTTTTTTCAAACCATTTGCAGACTGGACTGTGAAGTAACATAACATTTAAAACAAAGTTACACAGAATGGCAAAAATGTGTGGCCCCAGCTAGATTCCACAAGAAATACATCTCACATTCCTGGGCATCTATGATGTCATTCTCATACAGTATTGTGCAATAAGAGGAATTATGAACACCTGTTTTGATAACTCACAGTAAGAATCATGCAACTTCACATTTTAAGGATAAAACCTGACCCGCAGAAACCTGTTCTTAGCTATGAAATGAAAACCACTGCACTGAGTGCAGATGCCAATGAGTCTGCAGAGTGGTTGGGGCTGCCCTGTTTGGACACAGCTGAGCTCCTCAGTGAAAGCATCTTTAAAAATGGGAAAATCATTCTAAACCAAACCACACCAAACACGAAGAGGGGAAGGGAATACAAAGAGCATGTGAAACAGCAGTACAAAAACCATGGTCAGGGAAGGTGGAGGTGGAGGCACTTCATTGCACTGGAGCAGACACCTACTCTACAGTGAGTGGAGGAACCCACTCCAGAGTAGACGAGCACTCCTAAAGGAGCTGTGGAGCATTCAGAGCCCGCACAGAGCAGAAGGAACTGTGAGGAGAAAGGAGCAGCAGAGAGGAATCATGGTATACTGACTGTAACACCCCAGCACACGGTTCCTCCCACAGGAGACAGTTTTCATGTGAGTCATTCTCACAGGCTTCAGCTTGTCAAGATTTCTTCCAGTGTGGGTCCTTTCCGCAGGGTACAATCTCTTAGGAACAGTCTGCTCCAGTGTGGGTCTCCCACATGGTCACAAGTCCTGCTAGAATATGTGCCCCAGCATGGGCTCCTCTCCATGGGTTGCAGTTCCTGCCAGGAGCCTGCTCCGGCATGGGCTTTCCATGGGGGTCATGGAATATCCCGCTGCTCCAGTGTGGGTTCTTCCATGGGCTGCAGGTGGAATGTTGTCCACCAGGGACCTCCCTGTGCAGCAGGGTCACAGCTGCTTCACCATGGGCTGCACCACAGCCGCAGGGGAATCTGCTCTGGTGCTTGGAGCATCTCCACCCCTCCTGCACTGACCTGGATGTTTGTTTTCTCTCACGTATTCTCACTCCTCCCCTGGATTCTCTTAACAGAGGTTTTTACCTTTCTTAAATACATTATCACATGAGTGATTCACTCAGCTTTGGCCAGTGGTTGGGCTGTTTTGGAGCCAACTGGAACTGGCTCTATCGGATAAGGTGGAAGCTTTTGGCATCTTCTCACACAAGCCACCCCTGCAAAACACTGCCATATAAATTCAGTACAAGATCCCAAGCTGGAGCAAAGAAGCGTGAGGATGGAGTAGCAAAGGTGAAGTCTTATGAACTCGCCACAACCCTTGCTCCCCACTGCCCTGTGCTGCTTCAGGGGGAGGAAATAAACTAATTGGGAATGAAGGATTAAAGCTGAGACTGGACAAAGGGGAGGGCGAGGGAAGGTGGTTTGGTTTTGCCCTTTTTTCCCCACTGACTATTCTACTATATTTTTAATTGGCAATAAATTAATCTTCCCTAAGTCAAGTCTGGTTTGCCCATTACACTAACTGGTGAGTGACCTCCCTGTCTTTATATCAACCTATGGTGCTTTCCATCTGATTTTCTCCTCCTGTTCTGCTGGGTGAGGGGACTGACAGAGCAGCTGGATAGGCATCAGGCAGCTAAGCCAACATTAACTCACCACTCTGGACTAATCACAAGGGATTATTTTTTTGTAATCACTTAAAAAGAAAAAAGACACAGAATTTTAAGGAGATCATTTACCGAAGCATGCTGATTCTCTCTCTCCAAGTTCTATGCTTTATTTTGAAATGTAAAAGCCAGCCTTGATTCATTTTACAAAACACATCTGCAGGGTGAAGCAAATTATTTTATAAATTTAATTTAAAACTATGATATTCAAAAGCATGTAATTTTAAAAGTAAAATTGATTTGTGTTACATTATAGAGCTTTTTATGCAGTTCAGGTTTCTAATGCAGCTGACTAAATAGCTGATAAATATGCAGAGAACTCAAAGGAGATCATCTTTCAGATAACACTGAAAAGATGAAATTAAATTAGAATTAAGAAATGCTAGTATTCACCTAGAACGATTCATAACAAATACTGTATAAAAGTACAGTTACTTTTCTGGAAGGCTCTACTATATCCCCAAGTCCAGATTATAAAAAATGACAGGAATAAGAACCACTGCTCCTGAAGCACATTTCCACCTCAGTCAGATCAAAGGTGATAAATACAAAGATGCTGTATTAGCATTTGTAGTCACCATACATAAAACAAACATCTGCCTCTGTAAAATTACAGAAGCATGGTGACAGTTATATATATTTTTTTAGCAGTAATTTGATTAAAATAATTTTCACCCTTAAAATACAGAGATTTATAGTGCCAGGAAAAGAAGATTAATTTGATTATCTTTCTTGAAAATGATTTTAGCATTCACTAATCCTGCATGTTATAAAAAACATACTGTAAGAGCTGAGCTACTATTTTGATGCTCACGTCTGCTGGTGAAATGCTGGGGCATTCACATACACCAGCAGCTCTGAGACTAAACACAATGAGCTAATCACCCACTGAGATCATCTTCAGCACTGTGTCCTCTACCCAAAACACATCCAGGCCTTAGCAGCTGCTCCCAAGGCTGATTACATGGGTTCATGTGAACTCATGGTAGGCAGTCAGCACACATCATTTAAATACTTTTCTAACTTATGGAAGGCCACATTAACAATTTACTCTGCTAACTAACAATGCAGAACTACCTGCCTGTGAATAAGATTTGACAAATGCATCAGTTATTTTCTAAAATCTTTGTTCGCTTTTATCTAGAGCTAATTTGAATAATTAAGCTTAAATTTGTAGTCAAGTTTTACATGTTGGAAAAGTACTGACAGATATGACCAGAAATAAACACAAAATCAAAAGAACTACAGAGACAAAAGTCAACAATCTAATAGTCAGATATAACATCAGGTCATCTGTAATTGCTGGAAAAGGTTTCATTTTCTCGTTAAGCTTCATAATTCTAACTATATTCAACATGAAGTTTTACAGTTATATGAATATAATGAAAATGTATACTTTTTATTCTAGTAATTCTAGTAAAGTAATTTCAAGAACTGTTTGACATCAGTTTGGATCACATTTCATAGACTACCCTACTCAAAATGGTCAGGCACAAAGGTATAACATTTCTAAGTACTTTAATTAAAACCTGAAAAGTGATTGTCTTTTAAATATATATTCTTCTTCTTCTTACTATTTCTTCTAACTTGCTTAAAGTTTTCCATTACAGTACCCTGATTCTGAATATGAAAATATGTATATGTCTCTACAGACAGAGAGATATGAGGCAACTAAATGTTTTTATAACCACAGTGAAGTTCAGATAAGGGTCTGGCCTAAACTTACAAAACCAAAAAAACAGTCTTAAGGCTAAACAGACTTATAGTCAAAGTTCAATGGTACTTCCTATTTAACAAATTTCAATTTTAGTATTTCTAGAACATTACACTTTCACCAAAGTTTAAGCTCATCTGCACTTCAGAACATCCTTAAAAGACTTCAGAAAACTTTGAAGGAGAGTGTGTTAAAAAGAAATCTGTAACCATAAGGAAGAAGTAAAATTGCCAAAACAGTCTATTTCTTTTTGTTTAAGGAACAAGTTATAATAAACCAACCTGTTAAACATAATTAAAAATGTTCTTTCCTGTATACCCTGAGGTAGTGGTTTTGCTCAATTTTCTCATTTTAAAAGGAAACTTCTGCTTCTTCATTCTCAATATTTTTCATTTTTCATCTATATAACTATACAGCCTCTGTGTGCATTTACTTAATCTTGATAAAAAAGAGGGAACACAGGATAGGAGGCATTCTGGTCAAAAGGAAAAGCTAAGGTAATACCTACTTATTCTTTCAGCCTCATTCTAGACAGTCTCTTTGCCAAAAACATTTGTTTCTTTCTAAAAAAGGATTTGTTTCTTTCTAAAAAAGATATTAATTCCACTACTTAACCCACAAGCAGTTTATTTTTCCTTATGTAATCAAAAATGTTATTTACTGCTTGTATGCACAAAAATCTGATTAAATCCTGGCTGACTACTAAAGGAGTCATAACTGCAATTGTAAATTTCAATCACACACAGTAAAGAGAACATTCTCATGGAATTCACAGGAAACAGATTAGTGCTGCCATCCACTTATAACTAAACCTTTCTCCACTAACAGAAATATTCACTCTATAAAATATGTGTTTAGATGATTTACCCAAAACAAGCAAGAATAAGCATGCAGAAAAAAACTGCTTTCTTCCATTTATCTCCTCCACCCTCTGAGCCATAAGGAATTATTTTCAACTGGCTTTGGATCCTATAACAAAGTTACCTGTCATTAATGATCCAGTTCAGACACAGATTGAGGGAATTAAGGTTTTTGCATCTCTTTACTATTTCCATCACGGTTTCATTGTCCAGTTCTGTGATATGACGCAGATCCAAGCTGGAAAGATTTCTTAGCTATTGAGAAAAAAATGATAGAAATAGTCTGAAATTGTTCACTACATGACTGTTATAAAACCTATAAACTTTCTGGAATCACATATAATATGTGCAAAATAGTCAAGAAAGATAAGATTACTGTATTTTTCACAAGAAGAAAATAAATTCCAATAGAATCCAACTTTAGTAAATTTGGAATTCAGGCACTCAATTACTCTGTGAAGTCAAGATATTCCCACTCATGGACCAAACCACCTATAAAAGGGACCAAGGCCTTCCTCCTTTTAGCCATATGGAATATAAATACCAAGGTAACATTACAACTTATTTAATTATAAGAAAAATATGGCATCAAAGGAACACATCTCTGCTTAGATTCAAATGCATGTGATTAAAGACTCCAGAGTCTAAGCCTTTCAAACTAAGTAAATATTACAAACTCCTTGGAAAATACAGTATTTATCCTGTAGTCTTACCAGCTCAGCCATCAGTACCAACTTGGATATTCTGAACAACAAAAGTTGTAGTCACAGAACAGTATCATTAGGATTTATGCACCGATTAATCTGATTACTACTGTTAATCACTACAATGTCCTTAAAAAGCAAACAAAACCATCTTACTATTTTTATGAGCTATGGATTTAAAGGAGAAAATTTTTACAGATTTCTGCAGTATCCTTAAATAACGAATCAGTTTAGTCATAATAAATTCCAAGTGCTGTTTGCTTTTTAAGCTGTCTGAAATAATCTCTGGCATACTCTAAAAAATAATCGCATTAGGCAATACTGACACCTTAATTAAATTTACTTTCCCTGTAAGAGACAAAAAAATAATCCTATTCAGTGATTTAAGTCACGAAGGATTTGGTTAAGTAAAGGCATACAACCGAGATCATATAATTGGTCCACTTCAGTAGCTAATTATTAAATCAGTGTATTTAACAGAAATTTCTTCTACAGAAATTGGTGTTGTGGTATTTTGTTCCAGAAGTTTTAACATTCTCGAAACTGAAGCTGAAGATAAACCATTACTGCTTCCAAAAATCCTGCAGAACAAGCATAAAAGTAAGGAACCTGACCACTGAGAAACAACTGCAGGGTATGTCTATAGGACAATAATATTCCCATTATTAGGATATTACCACAGGTGTACTGTGGAGGCATTTGTTGTAATCCCATTGAACTTCTGATTATCTTATTTGCCTATTAGGGAGAAAAGCTCATAATGATTGATATTGCATTGGTAAAATGGACAGATTTTACAAGCTCTGTCTCTCTGCATCTTACAGATACTGCTCTACCAGGAAGTTTAAAGGACTTACCTGCTAAGCACCCAAAAAAAGCTCACAGCCTATCCCTCATTTTTTCTGCATAAATTACAAAGAGAAATGGAAACTTAGAGCAACCTTAATTTTCTTCGTCTTCATACAGCTATTCACATTAGATACTTCGTCCTTTATACCATGTTGGCAATAACGTGGCCAGTGCTTATGACATTGGGAATATACCTACTGGACAATGCAACAATGCATATGCTCTATGACAGTAAACAAATATTTATCAGGAGACCTCAAAGACAAGTAAAAAATTTTCCCATTTAAAAACAAACAAAACCCCACAAAAAACTATAAAAAGCACACAGAATTTTTAACTAAAATATGCTTTCTTTAGGGACCACACTCTTCTTATGAGCAAGTGAGAGTCTTCTTTCAGTATTACTACTCCCAGATTAAAAAATCTGGACTTACACTAGGTCATTGCTTTTTTTAATAACAGTTTAACTCACATGGCTTCAATTTAGGTAAGAGATAACAGTATCTACCTCACTGAGACAATAACAGATACAGAAGAATGAATTTACGATTTCCCAGGGAAAAAAAACACAAAAAACAAAAACAAAAACAACAAAAAAAAAACCAAACCCAACAAACCTAATGAAAAAAAAAACACAAAAACCAAACCAAAACAACAACAACAACAAAAAACAAATCTAAACACCAAATCACAACACTTTTGCGTTGTATGGATAGACTTAAAACCAAAACTGAATTCCTACTACTCCTCTTGATCAAATTAATAGGGTTTCCAAGGTAGATTTTATCCTTTACCATCAACAGAGAATTATCATTCCTTCATTGCTTCTTTCCCTCATTCTAATAATAGTCTACAGTTATATTCAATATACACTAACTCAACCATCGCTTGCCTTTTTTACTGTCACATTTATTCATTTTAAACAGCCTACCTGACACCTGACATACTTGGTAGGTAAATTTTTTTTTTATTAGGTACAATGTACTCGATCTAGAAAATCTTACTGTCTTAGAAGTTTGAAGAAATGGCTTAAACTGATACAAGTCCTGAAGTATAATTTGATCTATACAACCTCACTATTGCCACTTCACATAACTGGCTGACTGTCAAGATCTGCAGAACTGGATACACATTCCTGTAAGTACTGGACCTTCTGCAACAACGTTATATCAATCTGAACATGATAGGTGAAAAGAATACCCCTCTACCTATTTAAATCAGCCATATCAACATCTTATTACAGGTCAACGAATTGCTACAAATGTGTGTGCAACCATTTTTCATTAAAATGGACATTAATGTCCTATTTTAAATTTTACCAGAAAAAGTAATTGTAAGGGGATAATGCTACAGTGCTTATTCCTTTATTAATCACTAGTATTATAAAAAAGTTGCAAGAAAAAATACCTGAGTTCTATATTCTACCTCCAACCAGACAACTGGACAGTTGGGATGTTCAAATCTTCAGTGCATACATAAATCTTGAGATTAAAGAAACATACCTTTAATCAGCATTTTTCCAAGGGAAAAGGATATTCTGTGACATGAACACTTAATCTGAGGGCACAAGGATGAACTATCTCTTGTGTTTGGATTGTTGGGTTTTTTTTGTTAATCAAAATCAATTTTCTTCATGCAGCAATACCATTTTATTGAGCAATTTGAGGGCCATTCTTCTACGGATATTGACACTTTTCTTTAATTCTTAATTTTATAGCTCAACAAAGAATGCTCAGCTTGAGCAGAATTTAAACTTGGAACTCAGGTCCAGCAGGCAAAATGTTTTAACTGAAAAAGGAATACTTAATATGATAATATAAATACGCCTGATTTGAGACTGTTCATGTTTCAGATAAATTTCATATATTTTAGATGATAAAAAAATTACTATTACCATTGCAATGGCAGGTAATTTTTCAGTGTTGATGTATGAATATTTAGCTATTATTGTAGGGATCTACCACTAATTATTTTTCTTTTTTTCTTCTGTTCTCCACATGCTTCCACAATTCCTGTAGAGATATGCTTCCTTAACAGTCACAGAACAGAATCATGGACTCATTTATGTTGGAACAGACCTTTCAGACTGAGTCTAAACCTAACACTTCCAAGTCCACCTCTAAACAATTCACAGAAGATCAATCCTCTTCACAACTACATCCAGACTATTTCTGAGATAATGTGTTTATAAGAACTTAATGAGCTTTAAATTCCCATCTTTTGCTAATTACGCTTCATTTTCTTGACACTGTACGTGTAAAAGTGCCTTCAGGGAATAAACAGCTCTCTGACATAAGTGCCCCAAATCACATGTGTGATCAGAGGAAATAAAAACCAGCAACCTGAAAAAATTATAAATCACATTCTTTCTATTATTATTATTATGTCAATACAATTTATAAACTACTTTTTAAAAAGTCACATCCATCAATTTTTACTTAAGAGCTGAAGTAACTGAACTATATTACCAAGATACTGTGTTCCTGAACCAATAATCATACATGGTTTAAAGAACTGGAAAATGACTGAATGGTTTCAGAAGACACTATTTCCCCATAGACTGATATAATGTTCTGCACATTCGCAAATTCCAATTTTTTTACAATACTGCAAAACATTGAGCTCCCATTGCTTGAATAAGAAATAAATGTTAAAAACCTGTCTTAGAATCACAGGTTTAATTTGCATCACTTATAAAAAAAAAAACTGGAAAAGTCCATTTTGAAGAATGCAGGTATATGTAAAAAATGATGCCTGGGAAGAGCGTTGAAAACATAATTTAAAAAAAATATTTAACAGATTCCTTTGCTTTGTATTGTAGCATAGCAAAATACAATAGGAAAGTGAATTACTTTTCTATTAAAGCTGCTACTTCCATGACTGCTAATAATTTTTTTTTACATATTGCATGCATACTTTTTACAAGTTCTGCTATAAAAATAAACATATTGTCCTCCTTTCTACCATTGGATTCATTGTGGAAGAGCTACTTGCATACACATATAATGAGCACATACAGTACCCACTTCACAAGATTTATTTCCAGTTTAGAAACTCCAAAAGTTGCTGCTGGATTACAGTATCACTGATTCTCTCTTTGTGTTATTTATTCAAGCAAATTCAGAAACTTTTGGAATGTTTCACACACTCACAGAGCACTGAAACCCTTACATTTATGCATTCAGTCTTTCTGCATGGCTGTTTTTACTTCATTGCAGCTTGAAAGAAACTGCAGTTACAGTTAGAAACTGCAGAGGTAGAATATCAAATTCTTAAAAATGATGAAAGAGTACCTCTTAGGAGGGACACCATTAACTTCATTCAGCAAAATGATCAGCTTTAGTTTGACAAGACGTTGAAAAGGTTCTCGTACATAATGCTATCACCACATCATTTAAAGTGCCAACCCAATCCTCATGAAGAATCTTCCAAAAATCCCCATGTTCAGAAATCCTTAATGGCTTTTTCCTATGACTGGAAGACTATCACTTAAAAGGACATCTTATTAAATTCAGACAGACTCAAATAAATCATGTGCTAGTTATGAAATACAGTTCATTACATAAATTGATTAAAAAAATGTTTTCTCTAGATCTTGTCAAAGAAGAGCAATCACGTTCCAAGTTAGGAAGCATGATAATTTTAAGATTAGAAGGTATGCTAAAATATTACCACTAAAAAAAAGCATAAAGCAGAGCACTA